GGAGGAGGAGGCGGAGGATGAGGGTTGCGGTTGCGGGTGGGAGGGGAGGCGTTGGCGTTTCTGGGGACGGGAGGCTGGCGGGGGCATGTTTTGTCTGTCGAGGTCGAGCTGGGCTCTGCGGGAGGGGTCCGGGGAGCGGGTGTCGTCCTCGAAGGGGTCTTCGGAGTCTTGGGTTGCCGAGGGGCGTTTGGTGCCGTTGACGGGGGTGAAGCCGCTGGAGCGCGGGGCCGAGGTGCTTGGCCCGGCGGCGGCGGCGGAAGAGGGGGGCGGCTTGCCCCGGGCTATGGCGAGGATGTCGTCTCCGTCGGCGGACAGGTCGCCGGGGCTGGATGGGGGTGGTTGGCGGGACGGGGGAGGTTGAGGGGCTGACGTTGACGCGGTGGATTGGGGTGCTTGGCGGCGGAGCATGGCCAAATGCTGGACGACTGTTTTCGACATAATGTTCTCGTGACTTTTGAATGTTAGCTGATGGGATCATCGCAATGGAAGGAGGGGAGGGACATACACGTCCTTGCGGACGAATTCCTGCTGGGAGGATGAGGCGAGGGATTCGGAAGGAGAAGAGGATCTGATGGTTGACCCGATCGCCGGCTCACGCAGGAAATCCTGTGCCTGTCCGATGATGTCGGCGGTCCACTGCATCAAGTCGACGGAGAGCCCGGTCCCGTCCTCGGTCATGAAGGGGAACGCATCCTCCAGCATGTGGATTGCCTCCACAACCGTCTTCTCCTCGATAAGCTGCGCGATGCTTCTAGCACGCTGCGATACCAGGGGGGATTCGACGCCGCCGCAGACGGGCTGGTACGGTCCGTGGCGGAGCGCTTCCTCGCCGTCCACGCCTTCGTCGACCGCACAGAAGAGGTCAGATGCAATGTTGGCGGGGCTGACGGGGTGATCCGTGAGGTCTCTCAGCTGGGCAATGAACTTCTGGACACGGATGTCGAGAGTCAGCTCGATCACCTCGTTCGTGATGAGCTCATAGGGATCGTCGGGGATGGAGATGAGGAAGGGGGCGGGGAAGTCCTGGTCGAGCCGTTCGAAGACGCGGGCGCAGATGTCGAGCAGGTCGCCGGTGCCCTGGACGGTTTTGATGAGCTCGTTCTGAAGGGAAGTCGCGTTCGTCGCGGCGAGGATGACCCGTCCGCGCGACTGGAGCTCCTCGGGCAGCGCGGACAGGACGTCGGGGAGGTCGATGAGGAACTCGTTGTCCCTGTTGGTGAAGAGGGTCTGCATGCTGGCCCAGTTCTGGCGCTGGATCTTAAGCAGCTGGTTCCAGGTCTTCTTGTCCGGCTTTGGCTCGAGGAGGTACTTGGCGAGGTCGTTTGTGGTGCTCCAAAGGGGGTCGAGGGCATTTTCCCGAAGCTCCGCCGTCTCGTCGCGGCTGGTGTTGTGGTTGCTCCCTTGGGTCCCGCGACCTTCGTCTGGCGCGTCTTCCTCGTCATCCTCCCTTACCGGGCTTCCTGGTAGACCTGCGGTTTCTGGTAAGCATTGTAATATGACAAGGGCAGATGATTGAAATACCTCCGCGACCGAATAGAGGCGCTGACGAGCCGAAAGGCCTAGGGACGCCTGGATTGCATGAGCACTGAGCTGTGAAGGATGAGTGCGGATTGCAGGGATAACACACTTGAGTGACGTGTGTACTGCGCTGTTGCGCCGTAAGGGTTGGCGAATCTCTGGACACCGGACACGCTCTGAGAACCAATGATTGAAGCAATGTCTGTTCTATCGTCAGCGTTCATCCAAATGTTTTGCTCGATTATGAAGGTGACCCACCACTTTCGCTCTGAGGCGGCGGACTGATGGACTTGACGAGGTTTCCTCTCGGCGCATTGAACCGTGCAATCGATTCGCCCTTGGCGATTTCCTCCTCCTCTGACCCTGCCCCTTCATCTTCCTCTTCGTCTTCTTCTTCATCGTCGCCCGGATCGCTCGACGGCACCGCGACTTGTTTGCCCTTGGCCCTGGTCCTGGCCGGCAACTCGCGTTCCATGTTATCGTTGGAGCCCCCACGACGACGCGCCAGGCGTGCAGACCGGCCAGACTCGGCCGGCTGGTCGCTGGCACCGCGATTTGCCCTCGTCAGCACCATTTTATGATGAGCAGCGGCCCGTTTTTGAAAGATCGTGAAGAGAACGCGTCATTCGAGGGGGTGGAGAGGTGGTGGTGTAGTGTAAACAAACTCTCATTCGCTTAACCCTAACCCTGGCGAGTAAGGCGCCTCCCGCGTACGAACGCCCGTCCAATGGAGAGGTGGTGCCCAGGAATGATGCAACTCCCTTAGGTATCCACTTTTAATTCAGAGCGAGCTGTGAGGTGCAGGCGTTAAGGTTGAACCACTGCCTCCAACCTTTGCAAGTTGCTTTGAGCTTGATAAGATTGATTGGATGGAATCACACTTCATGACTTTATTTCCTTTTCAAAATCGGGATTGATGCACTCAAAGCTAAGATCGACTTCATCTTGCGCGGGGTACGGAGTTGGGCTAATTGACCCTCGTCCCTTCTGCAAGTGCCTTGTAGGTTCTGGATGGCACCTCAGGGTGCTACCCAGGTACACTGCACTTGGCGCACCTGGCTTGAACTCTACGCTCGCAGCTTCCAGATATACAGCCATTGGAAGTGGTAGAACTATGCGAACTGGAAAAGAGCCGTTGTCAATGCAAGCAATCAGCCCGGAATTTCCCTTCTCGCCACCTGTGTAATCTCTGATTCTTATCCCAAGGTTTCACAAAGGCGAGTATCAGGATTAGACAAAAGACAGAGGATCAGCTGGATCGACAGGTAACGTCGCCTCCAGAGGGGACATTGGCCCGGATGACCAGCACTCAGTAGACACTGAGACATCTTACACATCATTCGAGTGTCTCGGCGAACGTCCCAAATGCGCGAGAATCTCATTCCCGCTTCTTTGATGAGCTCTTGGTTTCCTCTGCATCTGCCCCGAACCACCCCATGAGATAGGCCGAGCGGGTCAGACACAGGAATGCCTACACTTGTTAGTACTGCGCATTCGCCGGCCGAGGCTATTCAGGGTCTTACCGTCACTCCCACGTTGCCCCAAGTCATAGAATTCCAACTTGCGACGTCGATAAATCTCTGCAGGCCCAGAACATGATAGCACACGTAGATGTGGCCGAGGTCGGCTATCCATAGAGCGACGAGATAACTGCGCACCACCTTCAGCTCGCTGGTGGAATTGAGGACAGCCAAGCCGACCATGGCCATGAGAAGATAGATGTTGCCCAGCTGTAGGGCGACGAGGCGGCTGTGATCTGTGGCCGGGGTCGGCGGACTGATGGTCGCGACCGAAGCAATCTGCTCGGATATGAACCAATCCGGGTCAATGACGGCTCCAAGGAAGCCGGCGGCGCTTGAGACATTCACATCAGCTGATGGGGCGCCTCAACTTGTCGAGAAGGATCGTACGCACAGCGAGATGGGCTCGAAGACGGTGAAGACCAGTCTTGGGAAGGTCGGGAGTGCGGAGGCCATGTTGGCGGCTCAAACGGGGGCCCGGGGGTTGACGCTGTCGCGAGCTGGTGGAGCTGCTTTGGAGATGCAGTGCAACTCGAACGATGGGAAGTCGGTGGTTTTGGGTGCAGATGCAGACAGGAATCAAAAGCTCCGGGTAGGGCAGGGTCGGGAAACGGGATTGGAGAGAGAGGAGGCAAGGCAGGTCAGTTGATTGGGTAGAGATGTTGTCAGAGGTTCGTTCATAGGTATGCCGAGGCGGTTGAGAATCGAGCTGTTGGTGTTCGATGGCTGGCTGAAGGGCACGCCGGAGAGAGACACTCAGAGGCGAGGGTGGAGCGGGGAGGCGGAAACAACGGAGGCAGGGGACCGGTCTAGTGTTTCCCGTGCCTCCGGCGTCCCCTTGGGACCCTTAGCTCCTCCATGTCCGAGTGCTGAGGCAGCGAACCTTGCCCTGAGGAGGTGGGTTGCGGTTGCGTGCGTGGGAAAAGGTGTGCACGGGGAAGCATCCAGTCAGTGTTCATTCTGCTCATTGATGAGTGTCAGGACGCCACCACCACCACCACCCTCAGCGCCAGCATGAGGTCCCTTGCTTCCATCGCCTTACCTTGGGCACCTACCACTTACCACCCGCCTGATGCTACCTCGCCTTGAGGCACCTCACACATACCTGGGCTAGTGCTCACTGCCCAAGGAGCTTAGCGGCAGCTTGGAGTCGTATTGAAGCCATTGGGATTGGTTTCTTCGGCCAACCTCGAGGCAACAGGCCTGGAGATGAGAGGCTGCAGTCCGCAGTCAGAAGTAGAACGCGTTAACTTGTCTGCGGGTGTTGGGCATGCGAGCGTCTACCATAGGTACATAGGCACCTCAGTAAGGATTGGGTGCCTACAAGGTGCCCTGCCGGCTATCTATTTAATGAAGTGAGGCAAGGCACAAGTACCTTTGGTGGCCTGTGACAGTCCAATGATAGACCAAAAGTATCAAAGTTGTTCAACGCACCCGGTTTTCTTCCCTGACGTAGCAGGAAATACCGTGTTTCCAACCACGCTAGCCTGGTTCGCCGTTGCTCTGGTGGAGAATTTTCACGTGGAACCTCACGTCCGGCGACACTGAGTGGGCGGACTCGGTGCCTTGCTCCTCTCTGGGAAGTGGAGGCTTTGCAATGTCTCTGGGAGTGCCCTGCAGCAGAGTGTGAGCTAGCTCTGCTCGTCCGTCCGTACTGCTGCCAGACGGACGTGGAATGCTGCAGGCGTTTTTTTAGTACCTTACTCCGCCATCGCCTTGGCCAGTCAAAAGTCGAGCCGTGCAAGGCAAAGAGAAGGCAAGGCCTCGAATTCCATCCCACCACTCCGCGTCTGCTCTCGCGACCATTGTCACCATCTTGCCATCATTGCCATCGCACCCTGACTGCTGGTCCTCCTCTCTCCGTCCCCGCCGCCGCGCTCTGCCTTTCACTCTTCTCTTCGCCAGTGTTGTTTCCTACATCAATCTTGAACCAAATGCCCACTCCGACTCCTTTCGCCCACGATGGCCTTCATCGAGCCACGCCTCATCCACCTGCTCAACGATTCGACTACTCCTCAGCTTGCTCGCGCTGATCTGCCGCCGCTCCGCCTGGCATACTCTCGTCCCTCCGAGCGACCGTTCCCCCTCGAGCCCGATACCTCCCACCGTGAAGATAAGCCCAAGGCACCTCTCGCCACGAGCCATGGAGCCCCGCTCGCACCTTCGAGAGGGCCAGACGATGCCTTCGCCACGAGAGATTTGAGGAAGGAAGATGATGGAGCAACCGATCGAGGGGGAGCTGTTAGCAGCACCGCATACATGCAGCTCAGGCTGCTCGTCGGTGAAGATCGAGATACGACAGACTCATCCTTTTCCCTCAGCAAGATCCTCGACGAAGTACCCGACAACAGCAAAGATGACACATCCAACAAGAAGAGACACCGGAACATCGCCACTAAGGACGACTTCGTTCAGCTGCCTCAACCGGTGAAGAAGCAAAAGCCCATTCAACCTCAGGTCATGCCGGCTATGCCACCCATCATCAATGGCCTTCACGAACCTCCACCAGACGCTGCTCTTTTTCCACCCATTGCCTCCAACGACTTTAACGAACCCGAGAGCAACCAGCTCAAGCCCCTTCGAGATTACGCGCCCGTCACCGAAGAGAAAGAAACCGAGAAGCCCCCGGACCCCGAACCGACTCCTACAAAGGCTTCGAAAGCCGGCAGTGGCAAGACGAGGAAGAAGGCTATGAAGCCCAGACGCAAATGGTCCGAGGCAGAGACAAATCACTTGCTTCTAGGTGTCAATCGGCACGGCGTAGGCAAATGGACTGATATACTCGCGGATCCGGACTTCAACTTCAACGACCGAACAGCGGGAGACTTGAAGGATCGCTTCCGTACGTGCTGCCCGAACGAGCTTAGACGGACAAACAGCGACACAAAGATTGCGACGACTGCCCTGCCTACGACTCCAACTGAGCCCAAGGCAAAGGCTAAGACCGGCCTGCTCTCCGAGAACATCCTTATCGCGCAAGAAGAGCCCGTTGTCGTCGAGCAGTCACAGACACAGGCCGGTCTGCTCGACGCGGACGGCATCCCCAAGGCGAAGAAAAGCCGGGCGCACCGAAAGAAGCTTGAGGACTTGGCTGAGCTGGGGATTCATGGCCCTTTCAAGAAGTCTCATCGAAGGGAACGACGGCCATTCACCGACCAAGACGATAAACAAATACTAGAGGGTCTGGACAAGTACGGACCCGCATGGACCAAGATCCAGCGGGATCCTCGCTTCAGTCTGTCAGGACGACAGCCGACAGACCTTCGGGACAGAGTGCGGAACAAGTACCCAAGTGTATACCAGAAGATTGAAAAGGGACTGTTCCAAATCAAAGACGGCAGGGGAGGTGATACGCTGGAGCCCACGGTCAGCATGAGCATTAGCAACACCTTGCAGCCCAACAGACCGCCTCCAATGGAAGCGGCCTTGAATAGGACCAACTCGAAGGAGGATCTGCCCAGATGGCCTCTATCGATGCTCGACAATGGAGAATCGCCGGCGGTACAACAGGCCTTCGACTTTGGCGAAACGACAACCGCCGCTTTCATGGGCAGCGCGGGTGAAATGGACATCTCCCGCCTGCTATTGGACGACTCTCAGGTCGACAACCTGCCCATGAGGCAGTATGCCGCCGAGATGGCACCCGAGCCCATGTCACCTTGATCTACCATCGTATTGAAGGGGCCGACAACACGTATCATCGAGGCCGAACGCCCTCGTCGCTTCACTGCCCTTCAGCAGCTCTCCATACATAACATACGGCAAGGCTCTTATGCCTTGCGAACTCATCCAATGCTCTCCGGAGCCAAGAGACCCGTGTTTGCCGGGCCTCGTTGATTTAGATATTAAAAGTGCTGCGAATTATTTGTTTGCGTGGAGTAGGGGAACGAGGCGCTCTGCTGCCTCTACGGTCATTTCTGAACGGGTGCTTATACCAAACTGGACTTTCCGTTATAGCGATATGGAGATTCGGCGCATAATCAGATACCTCACGGTCAAGGATGGGAAAATGGAATGGACACGGTTAGAAGGATTACAGTCGTTTCTGCAAAAGAACGAGGAGGCCCGAGAAGCCTAGTACGGCTCCGGGCCTCCAGGACTGTCGGATAGAGTGTGTGAATCTGTGTGCTAGAAAGCATCAGTCGCTAGATGGATGTATCAGAATGCAGCAGCTTGAGCGCACACTGGTATCCTGTGATGTCTTCGTTGGATCCATATTCGCCAACATGATTCGGTCCGTCCCCTTGAAGCAACCATTGGCCAGTCCTCCACAACTAGATGGACGGCGCCGGGACCGTAGCAGCTGCCCCGCAGGTTGAAATCGAGCAGCACTGGTCAGAGTGCAGCACAGACCACCCGCCTCGCTTGAGTGTATTACCTAATCCCCCCACTTTGGCAGCGTAGGGTTCGAAAAACCTAGCCTCACAGAATTTTTGGATCGAGCGACCTGCTACTCCACGTCCCGGCTGCGAATTTGAGATTGTCCTTGACTTCGACTTCACACCCACCGACCAGATACCCCCATAGACTAACCGGCAGTCAGACAAGATGGGCAAGGGACTGTAAGTTGCTCTCGCACTCATTTCAGCTTGACGATTCGAATCGAAATGCCTCTCGCCGTTGCTGTCGTTGTTTGCGAGAACGGCAGCGGCGAAGGGATCGCAATTTTCGAAACGATACGACAGACCGAAAATGAACGTCACCGACCATGAACCAAAACTGACAATGCCTCCAGCAAGAAGCACCAGAAGCGCCTTAGCGCGCCCTCCCACTGGCTTCTCGACAAGCTGTCGGGAACCTACGCCCCGCGCCCCTCGGCCGGTCCTCACAAGCTGCGCGACTGCCTGCCCCTGATCGTCTTCCTGCGCAACCGCCTCAAGTACGCCCTCAACTACCGTGAGACCCGCTCCATCATGATGCAGCGCCTCATCAAGGTCGACCACAAGGTCCGCACCGACATCACCTTCCCCGCCGGCTTCATGGACGTCATCACCATCGAGAAGACGGGCGAGAACTTCCGCCTCATCTACGACACCAAGGGCCGCTTCACCGTCCACCGCATCCAGGCCGAGGAGGCCGAGTACAAGCTCGGCAAGGTCAAGCGCGTCCAGCTCGGCCGCGGCGGAATCCCATTCTTGGTCACGCACGATGCCAGAACGTGAGTGTTGCTCTCAATGTTCCGTAAGACATCATTCAGCCGTTGGATCAAGCTTTGGTCGATTCGTCAAAATCCATGTGTCAAACATGCGTCTCTCTGCTCTTGTTGGGTGTATATCCTTAGCGTCTTCCTTTCACAAGGGACGACTTCACTTGCTAGTCAAGGAAGGCAGGAACCAACGTCAAAAAAGAAGGAAAGAAACAACATTGGCCGCGATTTGTCGAAACGAACACCACACCAAAATTTTACATCCGACGGCTGGTAATGTCTCATCCTACCCCAACTGTTAGCTAACCATGCTCTCTCACAGCATCCGCTACCCTGACCCCCTCATCAAGGTCAACGACACCGTCAAGATTGACCTCAAGACTGGCAAGATCCAGGACTTCATCAAGTTCGACACCGGCTCCATCGCCATGGTCACTGGTGGTCGCAACATGGGTCGTGTCGGTGTCATCACCCACCGTGAGCGCCACGACGGAGGTTTCAACATCGTCCACATCAAGGACGCCATCGACAACACCTTCGCCACCCGTGAGTCCAACGTCTTCGTCATCGGCTCCGAGAAGCCCTGGATCTCCCTGCCCAAGGGCAAGGGTGTCAAGCTCACCATCGCCGAGGAGCGCGACCGCCGCCGCGCCCAGGCCCTGGCTGGCAACTAAATTCCTCCTCACTCTTCTGTCTCCAGCGAAGTGGGTATGTGAGTTGAGTCCTGCCGCGCGCCTCCTGTTGTAGTCCCGAAGGACACGACGCTGGCCGCAACGCACTTTTTCGTGATGTCTTTGCTCCAAAAAAGGACGAAACGGTTTATTTGGGTCGGGCAAATGGGATTGAGCATGAATCAAAAAAAACGGAGTCTAGGGCTGATTTTAGAGTTGTCGGCTTTTTGACGTCCCCGGCAGATAGCTGTACTACGGCCAATACCAATCCATTGAAGGTCACTCTTCCGCCCAAGTTACTTTTGAGTTCCCTTCCATGCTCCATGCCTCGTGATGTCTTGCCATGGTGAGTGTCCAAGCCTCAGCTAATGTGTCGTCTCGCCGGTTCACTCGTGGGCTCGTAACACAGAGCGGGCTGCCTTGCCTGCTGCTGTTGCTTAATTAGCAGTGGAGGGCACAAGCAGATCGAAGTTCGGTAGGAAGAGAATTACGTCCACAAACTGGCAGAACTCTGAGCAATGCTAGCGCCTTAGGTTGAAGCCACCAAAAGAAATCATCAGCCAGAGTGTAGAACAAGCCTTTCGATCTGAGCACTTTCATACTTCGAACCTTTGCGTAAAGAGCCCGGCTCGTCACTATTATCAACGAGGCCCCCTTCACCGCTCACCGTGGTCTACTTCGGCCGCTCTACACGAAGGCAAGCTGGACAGATCTAGCCTCACCGCAGCTCGCCGCCGTCACATCGTCCCAGCAAGGCCCCCTCGATTCGGATCTACGGGTGGAGAGATACTTCTCGATATGACCGGAGGAACAAGATCGAAACTGCAAAGGGTCTCGTGCCTCGCTGCATGCTCTACATGACGCAGTCTTACTCGGCAGTACGAAAACTGGCACGGCTTCCCCGCGAATTCGAGTCTTGGGGACGCGGGGGACTTTTGGGGGCGGGCGTTCTCCGTCTTACCATTACGTACAACGCACCATATTCACAATCGGACGGTACGCTTCGTAGCTGTTCAAGATGCTGAGAAACGAGGCACCCAGTGTTCGACGAGGCGAAGGCAGAACGTCGGGCTCGTGTAACCCCAAAGTTGATTTGTGACAGTGATTTCAGTGGCATTTCAGGCGAGGTAGGTCGGTACCTGGCGAGGCCGCACTGAGCCGAATTCTCGGCGAACCGTTGGTCAAACGTGCGTTCGAGAGAGCGATGGTGGGTGCTGAGATGTTCGAGAAACGAAGGAGAGGCTTCTCCCGCCAGAAGGATCTACACACGCAGGTGCGAGCCATGAGCTTTGAGGGTTGCCTCGTCAGCTCTCGTCACCCCCGTTTGCCTCCGGCGTAGCGTACATTTTGTCTGCAATTCTTCTTCCGTGCTATGATGTAGCATCAGGCAGCCGTAGACCAAGCGAATCTGGCGAGTCTCGCTTTTGACGCTGAGCACGAAAGTTGTGATCCTGGTGCCGCGAGCTTGAGTTCGGGTGGAACACCCCGCCTTTGTGACCCCAAACCCCGCTGTACGACCGGCGCTGTCAAACTGCCCCAGCAATCGAAACCGCGGAGACCCCAACCTGTCGTGCCACGATAACTTTGACGACAACAGCACTTGTCTTTGGAGACGGAAGTCGGGTTTAAAGTCCAGATACCCCATACCACTCTTGAGATCAAACGGAGAATCCCGTCTGCCCAAGGAACATCTTCCCACGGCACATTGTGCCGTAGTCAAGGCAAGCAGCGCCTCTAAGGTACGAGACTGCGGGTGGTATCTTGCACCATGCAATAATCCTCGCCAATAGCCGTCGACGTATTGCTCGGAATTCAGCCTCCGCCACTGCCGAGATCCATTGGCGATATGCGGTCGTCCGTATTATTTGATTTGTCTTTCAAAACCTTTCTTTTCCTGCCCAGACCGCACCGAAGCTGCAGCACCAGGACTGCAACAGCCAGCGTTCTAGAACATAGCAGCGGGGGCAACTGGTAGCGCTACATTCTTTCGGACCTGTAGAGAACGAGCTCCTGCAGACCTACATTCTTAAGTGGGGAGTGCCTGTCCTCTCAGGAACCGTTTGTTTAAATATGGCTAAGCAGTGTCAACGCAGGGTCTGCTGTTGGCACAGGAGAAGGCGTGTTAGTTGGCGGACAACAAGGCTTGCCATAAATACACTGGGCTTTCTCTGCTCATCCGAAATGAGGCTAGACAAGTATGCGTTGGAAGCCAGGTTGATGAAGCTTGTTTGTCTGCTTCTCGATTTCGTGGAAATGCTGAAGTACTTCAAATCGACAAACAATTGCGGCTTTCCCGCCTGGGCCATCCGATTTCCGATGCAAGCCCCTGGAGTTGTGCCCAACAAGCAGACCGATCATCGATGGAAGGTTGCAAGTAGAGCAGGGGTTGCGGCGTGGGATTACGCCCCTAGTGATGCATCGAAAATCCTTTGGGAAGGTTGCGGGAGGGCTGAGCGCCCGCAGGTCTGTCTGCTCAACAACAAGTTCATTTGATGATGCGTCTCTTACGAGGCAGGGGAGCACGTCCTCGTGTTCGTCTATTGCCGTGATTCATAGAAAGGTCACCGGTCTCCCGAAAGCCACTCACCGGCCATTGTTTGTGCTGTCATCCCAAAGTCGCGATTGGTTCTCGAGTTGACTTTGCAACCAAGACGACCAGCTAAGATGACATAAGCCTCGCAGACATCCCTGACGAATGTGAACACAGGTGGTAAGCAAGTCAGCGGTTCAACTTGGATGGGATGAGAGTCCTGTGCGGCCAGTGCAGTTTTCAACTGCTCAGAGGTATCCTGTTCAAACAGTGCTGTGGCTGTCTTCGCCTCGGTAAACCTCCGTGCCGGCCCAAA